ACTGGATGTGGGATATGGAAATACTCAAATATAGTAGTGTTTGCTTTGGTTCTTTACTGTAAAACAGTGATCATATCATCTAAATTACAAAGTAAGTAGGAAAGAAGTCAAAAAGCCCATTAGGTCGATAACAACTCACAAAGGGAAATATTCAACATCCAAACAGGCTTAAAGAGAACGAGTGCCTCTCCTGCCGAAGGGTTAATATGAGCAGTGGTCTCTTCCTTCAGCCCACTCACTCCTCTGTTTAATTTCAAACAGGAAGCAGTTTAACCACAACAGTTTTTCTCAAGGTTGATTTGCTGCTCAGTTTCAGTACCTGGGGGTCCAGCTCAACAGTTTCATCTCATAATCTTAAAATCTATGTTTTTATAATTTCTTATGAAATATGCCGCCACCCCGAACAAAAGCGTATCAAATTAAAAGTTATTGGTGTATGTTTGTGATAAAAACTAAGAGATTAAATGTTTTGGGAGGTTTTTGGATGATGAAAGAAAATCATCAGCTTTAACCTCCAAAGACCCGGACTCCTCCACGGCATGCATTTTTAATTTCTCTTTGATATTTGGGCATATTGGGGCCCGATGAATGTAAAAACAAAGAATTACCAGATATTTTTTTTAACCTTATTTTTGTTTTTAGGAAAAATAAGAGCCACGTATGAGGATATTCGTTTAAAATTTCGATAGAACAGTAGCAGTATAATGTCCTCGTAAGTGGATATCAGGCCCTTGTAGAGCAAAATTGAGTATTTTGGTCTAAATAACCCAACATGTGATGTCCACATATGTGGACGCCAGGTCCTAAGAGGTTAAAGGAACTAAACCAATTTAAAACTTTTGCGAACCACCAGAACTAGACAAACACAGCATAGAGGGAGATCGCAACAAGGGACAGAAGGAAACTAAGGACGTAAATACACACAAAGAAATCAGGGAGATGGAACAAACCAGGAAACACAGATGAACTAAATTGACCCACACCCAGCCTGAGGCTGCCAAAGCAAACCAGGAAATAACAGAACAAGGCAGAAAAAACCCCAAATGCTGAAACAGAGATTGGACACAAACGAACAGAAAGAGAAACAAACACAGAGATTAAACAGACTGCATACAGGGAACACTAGGGAGAACACCGGGAGATGAGATCAGGACAAACTGGACACAAAAGGGGACTGACTAAATAAAATGGGAAACTAAGAACTAGAAATATAGATATAAAACTAAGGTAGTAGGAAAACTAAACTAGAGACTAACTAATACAGAGCTTGAAGAGAAATTATTTCATAACTCCAAGAGGATGAATCATGAGCCCATAACATAAATCCAAACACTGGACTTAAACCCCGGGATCCTAAAAAGCTCTTGTTGGACCCAGAACTAATAAATCTTGAAGTTATGGAACTGCAAAAACACAGGAGGCTTCAGAACCGACTGAGGGTGTAACATCATTAGTGATGAAAAATTAGAAAAGTATTATTCAATGTACTATGTTACACCACATGTTAGTACTAAGCAGAAATCTCACACCCTTTGAGGTCTGCTGTGGTGTATGGTTATAAATCTGGGGAGGTGCACTTCAGGTCAAAGCATGGATTTAACCCAGTATCATTAATTAAGGATTGCTATCAATAAGTGGAGGATAATGCAGATTATGCTTTACCTGGTGACCTTTGCCCTTGAGGTAAAACACTTAGCCCAAGGCTTTACAAGACTTCACTAACTAATCCGTGATGTAAGAGTGGCTACACCCATATTTTATCTGTTTTGATTTTGTTTTTATATCTGACTCTGTTGAGGTTTCTACTTTTTTACATACTTTAGCTGCATCCAAGTCAAATTGTGACTGCAGGATCAATAAGACACTTTCACACATTGCAAGTTTCATAATTTGATGAAAAAACAAATACAAGTACATTAACACATTTGAGCAAATTTTCTTCACTATCAGAGGAGTTGTTTCACCCCCACCATTAACTTTTCTCCATCTATTGCAGCGCTTACAGTGACCTAACACACTGCGTGGAATATCTGGCTAAAATGGTGGGCTGTTTCTTCCCAAACCCTGATATTCAAGACTTCTTTATCGACATCCATTTGAAATTCTTCCAGAACTGCACCAATGAGAATGATCCGATGACTGAAGATGCCCCTCAGAAGGTGGTGATTGGCCTCACTCTCCTTTCTGTGAGCTTCATCCCCATCATGGTTTATCTGGTCGCTCGGAGTTAGACGTGCACTTGTTGTACACAAGAATTTACTCCAGAGGCTGATGTGTGTATTCTTTTTAACAAGATTTAAGTCATACGTTTAAATGTGGTTAAAAATGTGCTTTGTTAAGTCATCTTGTGTTTTTACGAGTATTGTAACACTTTCACTTTGCGTGGTAGACATCAGCAGCTATGCATAAGCGCTTGAAAGACAATTTGGCTGAGATGTTATGAACATGATGTTTAAAAAACAATGACACAGCACTGAGCTTACTATTTTGTTTCATTTTTGTCTAACTGAGAAATATGCAACGTATTTAATTGCATAGTTTGACTGTGTAATCTATATAGAGGGAAAATGTATATGCAATTAAACTATATTACCTAAAATAACATCTTTTTTGTGTCTATATATAACATATGAGTCTGTGTTTTTTTCAGTGTAACTGGAAGAAAAAATTTTCCCCCAAAATGTCACCCTAAGCAGCCCGTTCTCACTCCCGAGGCGTAACATGCCGACGTTTTGTCACGTCCCGCGGCGTTCCTGAGGAACGCAAAAGGAGACCTTCTGCGTTCTTATGGTACGCGGTGGGTTATGGCGGAAATCCAGTGCAATGATGCTCCCACGGTAATAGACGTTCCAGCCCTGTATTCCAGCCCTAAACCTAACCTTATCCCTAGCCCTAACCATAACCTTTTTCCTGATCTTAACCAGGACTTTAATGATGTTAAATAGCGTGTTTCCAAGCGATTTGAAGAAAAAGAGCGAACATGTGTAGATAGAGTCCATACGGTTCTCATATTTCCTCATTTTTCCGAGGTCGTCATTTAGGAACGTGGTGGGTAGCCGAAAACGTAATATGTTGACGATTTGTCACCTAGCGTAAAATGTTACGGTTTGGGAGTGAGAACGTGTTGCCCTAAGAATAATAATAAACAAAAAAGTATTTACATGATACTCGTGTAGTTCTGCAAGAAGTTTTGTCATTTATCACAGACCAAAAAGTTTATTTATGGACACTTTTTAAAACCACTAAGGCCTCCAACTTCCGCCACTAACCACTCCTCAAAGCACCTGACCATATCGTTCCACCAAATTGCACTGGTCAACATATGTCACCCCCCTGCACCATCACAAGGTGGTGATTCATCGAGGCCTCCTCAGGAACTGGAAGGACCCACAAACCAGACTCAACAACGTGTTTTAAGTTGAACTGTATTGATCTTTATTGTGGCAAAGTGTTTTTAAGAAACTGGGAGCAGGCAGGCTGAGTGTGGATCACAGATGTTTAGGAAGTTCAGGTGGTGATGTGGAGTGGAGTTGTTCCCAAACTGCAGGTACATCTATGTTTGATCTTTGATTGTGAAGTCTTCAGACAGGTTGCTAACTGGGGCGACCTACAGCCCCTTTTCCTTTTGAACCTACTCAGACTTGCTGTGGATCAACACGACTCAACTCAGATCGACTGGTTTTCCATTAAAACCCAGTGTGCGTGTTTGCCATCATAGCAACGGGTCTGGGTGTGATGTAATTAATATGCAACATGAGTGCTACAACAATGGTGGACAGTGAGGCAAGAATATACCTGCTGCTTGGTCTGTGGCTTTTCGTCAGTCTTGGGGACCACAGTGGGGTTTTGTAACCATTTGCCACATTGTTGGGTTTCAAAAATGGTGGAATGAGACACTTTCATGACTCGTCAACTGACTCGACCAGCAAATCGGTGGCATGCCGTGTGACAACTTCACATTTTACTACCTGCTTGGATTGCTTAGCACCCGGGACAAGCAGGTACTAAAACGTACCTGGTACAAGGTACTATGAAAACCCTGAAAACCATGGCGAACCGTGATGAGTCCAAGTAGGTACTAATGGAAAAGAAGCTTAAGAGTCTTACTTGTAGCCTGATGATTCAATATATCAATGGGTGAGGAAGAGCTGACCCAGAGAGAGACAGAGAAGAAGAGAGAGAGAAGGGAAAAGGGAAGAAGAAATCAAAAACCCGGACCCACTCGGTTCATAACACCTAGGATGAGTTGCTGGGGCATTTAGTATTTCTTGTTTATAGAACCCTATAAAAGGTTAAAGATGTGGTTTAGGTGCCCTAAGAATCATAAAGACACAAGAACAACCTTTCTTTAGCACATTTTTTAAATTTAATCCAGGTCATCTCAAAGGAAAACCACAGTTTCTTTCTGCACACCTACACCACCCATAACCACACACCAAGCCAACCCTCCCTTTTCTGTTCACCTAAGAAAATCCTAACGAAAGTTTATGGTGAGTTCAGTGATACCATTGTGCCCAACAAAAGAAAGTTCAGCGGCCGAAAATTAACCAGTGGTCTGCCAGGGAACTGTTGCACCACCTGTCTTTGTCTTGCAACAACTTCTTGGGGGGGGGGGGGACTCAAAAACTGATGGGTTTATGGACCAAGTCAGTATGGCACTGCTAAAACTGCTAACTTTGAAGAACATAAAGGATATGTTCATAAAGGTGTGGCAGAACCCCCCCATCTCAAACAGGAATATTAGATCAATCCAGAAACATTGAGAGCCGGAAAAAACCTAAAACACGGTCTACTTTATAAAGACAGAGGGACACATAAAAAGGAATAGATTAACTCAGACACTATAAGTAGCAGGTAAATAAGAGAAGAGGGAAGTGAACACACAGAAAACCACACGAGGATCTGACTTCCAAAATAAAAGAGGAAGTAAAAGTCAGCTTCAAAGTTTGAACAAAGAGATCTGAAGCGGAGATAAAATTCAAGAACCAAATTGTGACATTTATTGACTTCAAAATCAGACCAACTTCTCCGACAGCAACTGGCTTCCTTTTATACTCCACCTGCCTCTGGTTATATCTGGAATATTCTATTTTTGGGGGCGGCAAGACAAAAAATTTTTTTTACATAAATCGACATCAAAAAAAATCTGGAACAAAAAAATTACATATTTACATACATTACGTATTGTCGCTCTGTGCTCCATCACCCCCACACAAGCTGGATTTTAGGCCTTTGTTTCATGTTGGAGCTGAACTGAGGGATCTCAGTCTGCTTGACGAAAGAGACCGGTCGCATATGTTACACACTTGATAAGTTACTTTTAATTGAAACATCCTAAATAACTTTTTTTGGTTATTTAACTTGTGGCGGAGGGCTTTCACTTCGGTGGTCTCAGAATCTCATCTCTGCTTTTCACGGATGATGTGGTTCTGTTGGCTTCATCGGGTGAAGGCCTCCAGCTCGCACTGGAACAGTTCACAGCCGAGTGTGAAGCAGCGGGAATGAGGATCAGCAACTCCAGATCTGAGGCCATGGTTCTCAGCTGGAAAAGGGTGGAGTGCCCACTCCGGGTCGGGGATGATTTCCTTCCACAAGTGGAGGAGTTCAAGTATCTCGGGGTCTTGTTCGTGGGTGATAGGAGAAGGGAGCCAGAGATCGACAGACGGATTGGGGCTGCAGCTGCAGTAATGCAGACGCTGCACCGGTCCGTC